AGGCCGGGCCCCGCGAAGTCGCGGACCAGGTGCCGGCGGATTTCGGAAGTCAGCCTGTGGGCCCTATTTCAGAAACCGGCGCAACCGCAGCGGGACAGACAAACTTTCCTGGGACGCACGCCTAGTTCAGGCTGACTTGCTTTAGCTGAGGAAAAAGGGAGAGTGGATGGTCACGGCCGCAGGCAACCGCGCAAGGGACAGGTGCATGCCCAGCGCTGTTGTGCAAATTTATCTCTTGCCGATTTATGCTCAGGTACAAGGCTCGCTCTATCCTGGAGCGCAGGGCGGTATACCTGGTCTTGCTTTGCCTTATATTCGTGCTCTGACTTCTTCGGTGTGTTTTCTATAGAACTACTGGGCTGTGTCCTCAAGGCCTGGATCTTAACCTGCGAGTGTCTTAGTACGGGGAAGCACACGGTGGGAGAGAACACTGCTTCTGATTTCAAGACCCGCATGTCACAGCAGTGGAAACAAGGAACCGTGGTTAATTCCAAGCTGGGTCTTAGAAGGGAAGGATTTTTTTGCTCCCCTAAACTGACCTTCAGGAGAGAAAGCGGGAGCTGGAGGAAAGAGGGGGAGAGGTGAGGATTTGACACAGAACTAATTACACCCTTCACTCACACATACGCACATCGTTGATGAAAATTAAAGCCCATATTTAGCCCTTTTTCAGCAACTTCAGGGGAAGCAAGGTGCGCTTTTGGAGTATAAAGTAGCTGCGAGGGTTTTTCTTTATTATCAAAATTTGATAAATTTTACCTGGCCTTAAACCTGCGCGTTAGCTTTTGGGAACAGAAACCACGTGCAAGAGTAGTCTCGGGGTTCACAGCCTTCCAGAGAAGAGAAGGACTGACTGTGGGTAGGGGACAAAGCAGTGGACAAACGTTGTAGATGAGATTCCGTGAAGAAATTGCGGTTTCATTAAGACTTGGGGAGCAGTTCGATGAGAACACAGCGGGCGTTTAAGTGCAGAGGACCTGCCGCCTAATGGGTGGGTTCCTGGGTTTCCATTCGTTGGGATAAAGTAACAGAAGTGTCTAGTGCTGATCAGTCCTCCCGCCGAGATTTCAGAACAACTGTCACTATTCACGTAGGGAATTGGAGGATGCTTTTCTTGGGCTGCAGCTGGGTTTATCCTCCAGGCGTGAGTTCTTGGAGCTCTCTGTCCTCATTAATGCTAGCACTTAACTAGCTCACGCTCAATTAGCCCCGAATAAACCACTTTAATAGACTCTGCACACTTCATTAATGTCTGGCATAGGGCTGACTACAGTCAGGATTGGCGCTCCACAGCGAGGGAATCCAGTGTTCGCACTGCTCAAGCATCAGAACTCCGAAGTGCGAATTGAGTTTAGTGCGATTTGTCAGGACTATTTATCTATACCACCCAAGTCTTGAAGCCCTGGCTCCTTTAGCAGCGGTTGCCTGGCCAGCAGAGTGATGTTCAAACGCAGTGTTTAAAGATCGAAAGAGTTCGTACGCGTGTCAGGGCAACAGGAGCCGGTGGGGCTGGGTATCCTCGAGATAGACAAGCAATCCTCATGCTAAATAGGCAAGATTATGTTTTTCTCATTCTTAACTGATCTGAAATCAGATCGCGGATTTGGTCCGTTTTTTAGTTCTAGTGTAAAGGGCTATGTTTCAAACGAATTTTGTCCCGGTAAAGTCGTTGGCAGGAACCTGGGCGGCATTGGTCTCTGAATACCGCAGAAAATAAAAAGTTGTCTGGGCCGCTGAGGAAAATAAATTGAGTGTTTGGGGAAACAAGATTAGGCAAATAGCCCGGATAGGATGGCTTCCGAGAGCCAAAATCGCGGCAAACCCCTCTATACAGCACAAGGCCTCTCTGGTCCTCTTTCCTGGGGGTAGGGTAGGGAAGATCCCATTAGTACTTAAGGTTGGCTGACTCTGAGTCCCAGCACAGAGCAGTTGTGCAGTGGAGAATCCTGCCTACAGTAGCTCCCTTGACCTGGAGTAAGCAGAGTACCCAGAGAAGCAAGCAAAGGCCTCAGTGGCGCCCGATGCCCCAGGGGGAGTCTGAGATAAAGATCTTATTTCCCGGGTCTGGACTAGAAGTGGTGACAACAAATCAAAGAAAGAGCAATCACCCGGTCAGTTCCCAGATCATCTTTGAAGTTGAGGAGCCTCCTTTCTCTCCACCCTCACCCAACCATCCCAGCTTTCTCTTGAGCTTCAAAGATCTCTGAGCTCTGGGTTTGTTTCAGACTGAGGCGAACCATGAGGAGTTGAATGAGTAGCAAAGGCTCAGGATCCCAGGCCAGGCCTGCTCTCCTACTGGAGAGGCACTATCAAGCCAGATTCCTGTCTCTTCTATAGTGTGGCTGAGTTAATTGTAGCGATCAGACTCGATTTTCATCTGATAGATAAATTAAGATGCACAGACAAATCTCTGCAGACTCCTTATGTTTTTATACCTCCTACCTCCAGCAGCTGAGTCCTGGTGTGGCGCTGTGGGATAAAGCACTGGACCGCAAGGTCAGTTTGAACTACAAGGTCAGCAGATCAAACTCACCAGCCACTTCTTGGAAACCCTATACAGGGTCACTGTGAGTCTGAACAACTCAAGGGCACTTAACAACAACAGTAATACCCCCCACCCAGCCACCCCACCCCCACCCCCACAGCAGTCTTGGTGTGGCATTATAGCCCCAAGGTTAGCAATTCAAACCCACCAGCCATTTCTTAGAAACTCTATACAGGGTCGCTTTGAGTTTAACCAACTCTCTGGTACCGTAGTGGTTACAAATCAGGCTGGGACCACTAAGGTGAGCAGTTCGAAACTACCAGCTGTTCCGTGAGAGAAAGATGAGGCTTTCTGCTCCCTTAAAGACTTACAGCCTTGAAAACCCTGTACAGGGTCGCTATGAGTAGGTTCTGACTCCAGGGCATATAACCACCACCACCATGGCACTTAACAACAAAAACACCCCCAGCCAAGCCTCTGTCTTTAAGGCTCATCACTTATTGAGTGGACAAAGCAGACAGACAGACCTCCTGGCAGCTCCCAGGGTAAAGATTGCTCTCATTTCTCTCAGAAACTGAAGCTGCAACCAAAGGCAGTTTTGCTGAGGAACAGCTGGGGAAGCAGGCTGGCCAGGTGTCAGTGTACAACTATAAACTGGGGTCAGAGGTGTGGCCTGCGCATCCCAGGGGAAAGAAATGACTCCAGGATAGAGGAGAGGCCAAACGAAGAGAAGGCGAGCACTAAGAGGAACAGAAAAATAATCTGAAGCTGAAGAGTGAGAAAAAGAGGTGGGAGTCCCAAGGTCCTATTCTGGCAATGACTGAGTTGTCCGAAGTTCAGAGCCTCAAATTTAGCTCTTGAGCTTTCCAAGGCTCCCTGACTAAATTTTTTGCTTTCTCTTCTCCCTGTTTTTTTCACTCACCGGACAGACCTAAGTTAGGGAGGGGCAGAATGAAAGGCTTCTTGGTATAGCTGCTCCACAAAGATTGAAAATCCTGATTATGGAGACAAGAAAATGCCAGACTTCTGGTCACTTCACCATGGCTTCCTTCTGGCCTTGCTCAACCTCTCTGATTTTACAGTTGAAGATGCATAATAGCTGAGATCTGACCTCAGTTCTCTTGCCCCTAGACATACCCACCTGTTTGCTATTGTTGTTAATTGCCATCAAATTAGTTTAAGGTTTCCAAGGAGTGGTTGGTGGGTATGAATTGCTAAGTGACTAGCCTTCTACAGTGCCATACTCACCATATAGACACAGAAACCAAGAGCCCAAAGATCCTGCTCCCCTTTCCTATATGGTTGTAGATATATGACTGAATAAATGAATGTGGAGTACCAGTGCCCTGGATAAAAAGGAAGGCATTTTCAAAGAGCTCTGTAGAAGTGCTGGTGTGTCATGGGCTAATGCATCAGACTGCAAAGTCCTTTAAACTGCAGGGCCAGTGATTCAAGCTCACTAACTGCTCATTGGAACCTCTATACAGGGTCGCTATGGGTCAGAATCGTCTTGACGGGCACTTAACAACGACAATGACAACAACATGTAGGGGTTCAGACTACAGGCTACTGCAGAGATGGTGGTATTGATGTGGCTCATTAATAGGTAGTAAAGCAAGCTTAAGGTCAAAGTTGAGAGTTTTGAGTAGAAAAAATGACATTACTTCTGGAAGTCAAATTGAAGGTCTGCCAGGACGACTTAATGCACAGGAGCAGTATTTGTGTGCATTTATATGTGTGCTGTATGTCCCTGCGTCTCTTCACGTTAAGAGGTGACTCCTTGTGTGTGCTGGTGCCTGCATTTTATAGTTAGTGTTGTGCTCCAAAACACTGGCACAGTTTATCTTTACACCTTGTTGTCAACTCTGCCTCAGAGTGTGTGAATCTGTGTTTATCTATCAGTGTGCTTCCAAATTCCTGTTTATCTTTGTGGTGGTGGTGGTGTGCCATGGAGTCAGTTCTGACTCATAGCACCCCTGTATAGGGTTTCCGGGTTTGTAAATCATTACGGGAGCAGAAAGCCTCATCTTTCTCCCTGAGAGCAGCTGATAGTTTTGAACTGCTGAATTTGAGACTAGCTGTAATGACCCAAGCTTTGTAGATGCACATTTTACACACCAATCTTCCTGGGCCTGTACCTTTCTTAGTGTTCTGTGCAGTATAGGATACCCTCTTTTCAAGTTGATTGGATTACATGAGATTTCGTTTTCTCCTGATTTTTGTATTAAGTAGTTTGTCTCTGCCAGAGAACTTTGGGAGAGAATCCTTAGACCGGGACCGCAGAAGGAGAATTTTGAGACCAGGGCGCCTCAGCTTTTTATTTCTCCACTTTCTCCGAGGACCTGTTTGTGCTTTGGGTGGGATCTTAGACTCCCAGCTCTGGCCATGAAGGAAGGAGAAGAAGGTACATCTCTATTGGAATTCAGGCATAAAGCAACCTACTCTAAACTTCTCTTTTCCTCTCTCCTTTCTTTGTTTGCAGCTCAAGATTGTGAAAACCCTCTGCAATCTCAGCAATGGGCAGTAAAACCTTGCCAGCGCCTGTGCCCATTCACCCATCCCTGCAACTCACCAACTATTCCTTCCTTCAAGCAGTGAACGGCCTGCCCACGGTCCCCTCAGACCACTTGCCCAACCTGTATGGTTTCAGTGCGCTGCACGCTGTGCATCTGCACCAGTGGACACTGGGCTACCCAGCCATGCACTTACCGCGCTCCTCTTTCTCTAAAGTGCCAGGCGCTGTATCCAGCCTGGTGGACGCGCGCTTCCAACTGCCTGCCTTTCCCTGGTTCCCTCATGTTATCCAGCCTAAGCCCGAGATCACCGCTGCAGGCAGCGGCCCCGCAGCACTTAAGACCAAGCCGCGCTTTGATTTCGCCAACCTGGCCTTGGCCGCCACACAAGAAGACCCATCCAAGCTTGGCAGGGGGGAGGGCCCTGGCTCCCCAGCGGGTGGGCTGGGCACACTCCTGGATGTGACCAAGCTGTCTCCAGAAAAGAAACCCACAAGAGGACGCTTGCCTTCCAAGACCAAGAAGGAATTTGTCTGCAAGTTCTGTGGTCGCCACTTCACCAAATCCTACAACCTACTTATTCATGAGCGGACGCACACTGATGAGCGGCCCTACACCTGTGACATCTGCCATAAAGCCTTCCGGAGGCAAGACCACCTAAGGGATCACAGGTGCGGTATTACGGTATTACAGGTGATCCCAGAAAGAGCTGGGTCTGTCTCTGGCCTCAATGTCCTCCTTTATAATGAGACCCCTACCAGTTGTGTAAAATGACTGTAAAACATACAAGACTTAGGGTTCTTGGAACACATTGTTTCTGCTAAGTACTGCCAAGTAGATTCTGACTCATAGTCAATCCTCCATAGGGTTCCTGAGGAGCAGTTGGTGGGTTTGAATGGTTTGTGGTTCCCAGCTTATCCTACAACACCACACTAGGACTACACCGGAGCATATTGTAATTGTTAAGTGCCATGGAATCGATTTGGACTCATAGTTTCTGAGGAGCTGAACCTCCGGCCTTGAGGTACCCACAGCGCCACACCAGAGGAGGAAATATGGAGATGAATGGGACCTGAGACTGTGTTAGGTCTCCATGACTTCCACAGGCACGCTGTTTCCTCAGCCCTGTCTAATAAACGTTTCTGTGATGATGGATAGTGTGGTGTGTGGATATTTGAAATATGCCTAATGTGACCAAGAAAGGAAATTTAAAATTTTGTTTAATCTTAATTTAAATTTTAATAATTACGTTTGGCTAGTAATTACTGTCCTGGAACTGTGCAATTGTAGCAAATTGTGCAATTCAAGCTCCCCATGCCCTTTCTCACTTTCTGTGATACAAGCCTTACAAAAGGACATACTGCAACTCCTCAGGAAAGCATGAGATCTCCTTGGCTGTATCCTACCCATTTACTGATCAGATGTTACACAAGCTGTCCTTCACCTCTCTACTCCATCTACAAATAACATTTATCCCTCACTCCACATTCAGTACCCCAGAGCTTGCTTCCTTTGGAGGCAAGCACCTTGTAGAGGTGGGAGGGGATCTGGGACAACAGATTCTAATGTTACATCGTTTTGCAAAGATTAACATTTTGTCTGTTTCTGCCTTCAGATATATTCACTCCAAAGAGAAACCCTTCAAGTGTCAAGAGTGTGGGAAAGGGTTTTGCCAGTCCAGGACTCTCGCTGTCCACAAGACGCTACACTCACAAGTGAAGGAGCTCAAAACTTCCAAGATCAAATGCTAAATAAAGCCTCAGGGTGTGCAGGACCCTGGGTCATGCCGTCCTCCTCTCCTCCAGCGACTCTGGAAGACGAAGGCGACTCTGGCGGTCAGCGGTAGGGGCTCTCGGGACCTTCCCCCACCCAAAATAGTGTCCCCTGGGTCCCCGGCGCACGCGGCACTCCAGAGCCCTGCCCGAAGCTATGACCCCAGCCGCCCGGGCGGTTCCCCCAGGACGTGGCTAAACTCTTGGCCAAAAGGCGGTACTCACGTGGCGGAAGGGAAACTGCATTTAAAAAACAATCAAAGCTCCGCAAAGCCGCAGAGGCGCCTCTCCCAAAAGTATTACTTTTTCTATTGTTATTTTATACGTTTTCTTTTTTTTTTTTTTTCCCCCTCCCTTTGACCATATAAGCTTGTAACTCTGACTGCGGAGAGTGGGGGAGAGAGGAAAGGAAGTTCAGTGCGATTCCAGCTTCCAGTCTCCTCCTCCGGTCCCACCCCCACCCTTGGGAGCCTGCAAAAGTGTAATCCGTGTATCTGCTTCTGCCGCTCGGCCCCAGGGAGCACGCGGGTCGGCGTCGGGAGCGTCCCCTTCCAGGTCCCGCCACGCAGCTGGCCTCGGGCTCCAGGCGTAGGATGGCGGAGCGAGGGCCTCGGGTCGGGAGCTGGAGGGGCCCAGCCTCCGTATTTGTGTCATCGTAGTGTCACCGCGAGAGAGCAGCCGGCCAGAAGCGGGGCGTTGTATTGCGATTGGCACTTTATGCTGACCATCGGTAACGGACATTTATCACTGGAGTTTTAAAAATATTAAATAAACGGTTATTTTACAGGCATTGTGGGATGGGTAATTTCCCTCCAATACTTTGGAGCTGGACAACCTCTTCCTTTGAAAGGAGGAGGTTTCTGGCCAAATCTAACCTTTCCCAAGTGCTATCCGCACGACGGCTTGGGGTGATAGTCGGGCGCTAGAACTTGGGGGTGATATTGATGAGTAAGTGGAAAAACCCTTTCTCTTTCTGGTGTTTGTTTGCCTCTGACACCACCCCATCTTTCTTCCCTGCTTTGGTCTTAGAATCTCAATTTCCCCCACTTTTCGTCTCCAAATGGCTTTGAGTTTACAAAGAAATTGAGCCTGATGCCAACATACTGGCCATGAGCAATATCAACATCTCCAGATTTTGGGGTTCGCTTAGAGTTCACAAAGCGGGCACAATATCACCCTACTTTTCACTACCAGTTCTTAACTTCTGCTTTGGGTTCGGTAAGGCTCTTCCTTCACTGTCTCAGACGGCGAAAGCATTGCTCCCACCCCATCCCATCTCCTGCGCCCCAATTTGTTGTTGTTGTTGTTAAGTGCCGTCGAGTCGGTTCCGACCCATAGCGACCCTGTACAGGGTTTCCGAGGGTGTAAATCTTTACGGGAGTAGAAAGCCTCATCTTTCTCCCGCGGAGCGACTGGTAGTTTCGAACCGCTGACCTTAAGGTTCGCAGCCCGATTCGTAACCACTACGCTACCAGAGCTCCTGGTAAGTACTGCCAAGTAGATTCTGCAATACTGCACAGCAAATACACAGTCACGGCTGTCTTGCTAGAGTCCAAAACCTACATCCTTCCCTCTCTTGGGATCCCCCAGACACGTTTCTCTGGTTGAGACTCTTCCCCAGTCGGGATCATTGCTCCTTGCCTGCAAAGACTCCCTACAATTTGAAAGTCTTCAGGAATGACAACGATCAACGTCCAGCGACATGGGGAAGTTTAGGAAGGGAAATCTGAGCCGCCCTTCACAAGATGATCATTACTCTGCATGCCGAGTTTTCCCACTCTCCGCCTTAACTTGGGGCGGGGCTCCCACAGCACCTTCACCCCGACTGCGGGGCCGCGGCAGGCGGTGGCGCCCGCGGCCTTTCCCAAGCCTAGTGCAGCCACCAGGGATTCAGTGCCCGTTGCTCAGCGGCCACGGAGACTGCCAGTCGAGCTTCCTTTCGGCAGAAACCCCAAATCCTAGCCTTTAGACTGAGAAAGTGGGTCTGCACTTGTAGGAGTTAAAATGCGCTGGTCTTTCACTGCTTCATCCCCACTCGCTCACAGAATGTCGCCTGCCCACTAAAGGGCTTGAATTCCGCAGCCTGTGAACCTAAATTTTGCCCAATGGCGAGCGGCCCTCTACCTAGGGAGCTGCGCTGCCCCCTGCTGGACGGGCCTGGAGGGGCAGCCTAGTACTCTGCGTCGCTCTAGCACACAGTTCCCTGCTTGCCATTCATCTACATGCCTGGTCTCCTTCTCCAAATCCTTTCCCTGCGAATGAGAGACAGGGTAGTACCAGCCTGTGGGATCTCCGCTAGTCGGGCAAGATCCCAAGCTTTCTTCCAAGGGGGTCCACAAAGATGAAGCCCAGAACAGGCTAGTTGTCTGCATTCTGACAACTGGGACATCTTAGTAGACAAAGGGAGTTTAGTCAGTGATTTGGAGACTTCATCGGCCTGGGCTCAACTAGCATAGTACATGGTATGGTCTGAAGTTGGCCTTGGAGAGTTAGGCTCCATAGCAGAGACAGGCCGGGTGAGCGTACGAGCAGTGGTTGGCCCTAAACGAAGAGAGTGCATGGATCTACACACATCACATGCAGCTGCTACAGAGAACTTCAAGCACTTCTGGAAACCGAAACCGGAGAGAGAGAGCCACGTTTAGTCCCTTTGCTCTTTCTGGAATTCCACCTTTGGTGGTTGAGGGGAGGACTGACTCCAATTGCCATTTCCCCAACTCTCACACTAACCCCAGGACACAAGGAGTTACTACTGACTGAGCTAAGCAGTTAGCCAGGCTTCGTAGATCTAGAAAAGGATTCCAAAGACAATGGTTTGCATGTGAGGCTTTTCTTTTCTAATTAACCACACCCCTGGCACCTAGAGTCCTCCCCCTCCATCCTTACTTAGCTCCTACAGCTGAGAGATCAAAGCCAAATTCTGGGAAGAATGGATTCCTAGCACACGATTTGGGTAAGTGTCCCTGAGGATGGAGTGAGGTGGGGGGTAGCGAGTAGGGGAGGGCGCTAAACAAAATCTCAGCCTGCTTCGAATGCCTTCCGGGCAGTTGCTGTCGTTCTTGTAGATCAGAAATGACTTCTCAGTGTACCTCGCTAGGGTTTATACTGGTGGCAGTTATTTCTGAGTGTATCTAAACAACAGGTGGAAGGGTAGGTGACTCCTGCAAGATACTAGATCCCCACACAACCTGCAGTTCCTAGACAACGTGGTTGGGACAGTTTTCCATTCACTTTCAGCGTGGATTCCCAGGAAAAGGGCAATGAGTGAGCTAGCTATGCTAGCTGGGTTTCCTTTCCAGCTCTATTCTGCAGGGCCAACTTCTTCAAACTACTCTCCCCTGTCCCCTGTACTCGGTCTGAGGGTCAGTCCTTGGAACCATATGGCCCTGGGATAGCATCCTAGGTCGTGTTCTGGATGCGAAGGAGACTGGTGGGAGGCAATCAGCTGGGCACTTCCCCAAACTGGAGCCACCGGAAGTGTTTGGCGAGCACCCGGTGGGGCCCGGAATGCCAGGTGCTGGAGAAATAACAGCCTTCTTTCTAAAGAGAAACAGTTCAGGTTCCTCCTTCCAAAGACAAGGGAACAATTTGAGGCACGGGAAATTATGCTTTTCTGCGTACCTCCTTGTTGCCGAAGGCATAACTCACATCTGGGGTGGGGCACACCGCAGTGCGAAGGCCAGGGATCACCTTAGCTCCAATTACGTGGAACTTGTTCTGTTATTATAACTCTCCTGGAATTTCGGCGCCCTGAGAGCAGACTCCAAGACGTACTAACACTATCAGCGCATGGTGGCGCCGTGACGTCAAGGCATCCTTGCACTGACACAATGATGTCACATAGGTCTCAGGCTACAGCTCAAGAGCCCCATGTTGCAGTATTTCATTTACGCAGCTCTGTGGCGTCACACAGGTACCACGGCTGGAGCCAGGTTCTGTGAATTGTGCCCTGAGGGTGCCAAGGATCCATTCGTCCACCACTGACAAGTTTCGTTAACCAAAGCGTTGGCAAGCGCCCATAATGAAGGATGGCCCGCTTTGTCCGTCTGGAGAATCTAGTCCCCCTGCTCTAACGGTTTCCGGGCACTAGTTGCTTTCAGATACTCGGTCAGCCCATTCTGGCCCCGCCCCAACACCGACCTCCTTTCCCGCCTCACTGTCCCACCCACCACCCTTCTCCTCCAAACTGCAAGCTTCACACGCAGGCGCAAATTCCAACTCCCAGTTGACTGGGAGCTCCAGCGCAGGCTTGGGGTTTGGTTCGGTGTTGCTGTTGTTGTTGTTAGTGCTGTTCGGTTCCGACTCATAGCCACCCTGTATAGAGTTTCCAAGGAGCGGCTGTTGAGCTTGAACCGCTAACCTTGCAGTTCAAACCGACCTGGCAGTCCAACTCATTAACCCACAGCTACACACCAGGAACCCCTGTCCTTCTTTCAGTGATAAAAGGAGCCCTGTAGTGCACTGATTAAAGCTCTCAGCTGCTTGCCACTCCAAAACAACGTGACAGTTTGCCTCCATAAAGATTTACAGACTTGGAAACCCTATGGTGGTGTTCTACTCTGTCCTATCTTGTCCTTACAAATCAGAAATTAGACAAGTAAGAATGTGGTGGTGGTGGTGGTGGTGTGCCCTGTAGTCGGTTCCGACGCATAGCGACCCAGTATAGGGTTTCCGAGGTTGTAAATCTTTACCGGAGCAGAAAGCCTCCTCTTTCTCCAGTGGAACTGTTAACCTTAAAGTTAGCAGACCAATTCGTAACCACTAACGCTACCCGCTTAAAGCCTTGACTTGGAGTTCCTATGGAGTCTGGAATACAACACAACTGAAGTCCAGATGACAGGGATGGTGTGATCAGACTCTCTGCTAGATTTGAAAGTCCAGTGCATTCCCAGGCCTTTCAGACAGGTCTCTGAGGCCAAGGTGTCCGGCCCCAGCCTGGCAGAGGTCTTGAGGACAAATTTTTGGTTTCCCACCTGGTCCCACTTTCAGGTTCACTTTCTAGGCCACTTCTAGAGTCAAAACTGATGCTTTGGCCTCAGTTTAGATATATTTCAGAATAATTCACTGCAGGGTCAAACTTTATGCCAATAGAAGCAGAAAAATTAGAAAGCCACATTTCCTCTGAGGAGAGAAACCAGAAGACTCAATTCTAGATTTTCCAGATAATTGCAATCTTTGGACAAGTCTCTCCACCTTTCCAAGCCACTGTTTCTTCCTAAAATGGGTGTAATAAACTTTCCACCAGTCAGTTGATGCAAAAATCAGTGTCAGTATTTTCCCAACAAGTTCTGACTCACAGCAACCCTATATAGGATTCCTGAGGCTGACCATTCAGAAGTAGTGTGTCGCTCCTTTTTCCTAGTCCATCTTAGTCTGGAAGGTCTGCTATAACTT